TTCCCAGGGGGTGGGTGGAGGCTCAAGCCCCTCCAGGGTTAGATCAGGCTGGATTGGTTTCCTGAGGGCTGTGCTCACAGGGCAGGCAAGGGCCATGTCACTGGGTGGGTGGGGAAGCCCTTGATCCGGTTCCCTAGGGAGGTGGTGGAATCTCCTTCCTTAGAGGTTTTTAAGGCCTGGTTGACAAAGCCCTGGCTGGGATGATTTAGATGGGGATTGGTCCTGCTTTGAGCAGGGGGTTGGACTAGACCCCTCCTGAGATTCTGTGATTCTGCACTAGAAACACGCCTGGGGGGCAGGTTCTGCCATCGCTAAATCCACCCCCAATGGGTGGGAGCGAGGTCACTGGAGAACTCGTCTGTCGGCCCCACACCGACTCCGCTGCGGTACCCAGGAGAGGGGATTTTAGCTCCGTCGCCCCACGTTCTCGGTACAGCCTCCTTTGCCCTTGGGATCCCGGCGCTGTCGGCAGGGGGCTCCGGCTGGCGGAGCTGGTCGCTCAGCGTGAATTTGGTCCAGGCCTGGCCTGGCAGCAGCACCCAAGGGGGGGAAAGTTGCCATAACTAAGATCAGTCGCAGGATGTCTGCCAACATGTTCTTACCACTGCAGCCCAGGATTTTCTACAGCCGTCCCAGGGCGCTGACTCCATCTGCTGGCTTTTGTGCAAAGAGGGAGACCGCCACAAGGGGGCAGCACTGAGCAGGGGTGGCTGGGAGCCAGGGCTGTGCAGTGGGGTAAATCCCTACCCCCCCCCCCCCCCGGGGGCTCCATTCCCAGCTGTAATGGGGGGGGGGCCCAATCCCACCTTTGTCCTGTCCTCTGGCTCCTGTGGGCAGAGCCTGTGGGTGTGGGCATCACCTGGCACAGCACAGCCCTGCTCTTAGCCGGGTCTGTACAGCCCAGGGTGGGGGGCACTGGCCCATGGGGCCTTTCCCCCCAGTGAGCGTTGACTCCACTCCAGCCCTGGGACGGGGGCACTGGCTGGCCATGGGGCTGGGGATTGGGACACGTTGATTCCATTTCATTCCTAACGGTTAGAACATGTTCGTTTGTCGCTCACTCGAGCCTTTATGCTAAACCTGGACAGTCACGTGCTGTCCCTGTGGGTCCCCAGCCGTGGGTCGCCCGTGCACCATGCGCCTGGGACTGGGGGTTTCTACCCAGCAGCGTCCACTGCTCTGCCTGCGCAGTCGCTCGCCTGGTGCGATGACCGAACCCGTGACCCCCTCGGCCATTGCTGAGTAACGGGGGGAGCAGCTGGCTCCCGGCTCTCTCCAGGCAGAGGGTGTGGGGCAGGGTCCTGTGTTGGCGACACTGCTCTGTGGGGTGGTGCAGCACTGGAAGAGATGGACCCCTCTGCCACTCGTGTCCCCTGGGTGGGAAAGGGGGAGTGACCCCCGCCCTGTCCTCCTGGGAATTACGCTCCTATCCCTTTATCCTTGGCATCTGAGAGTGTCCCTACAGCCTGGGGAATCCCCCCACACAGGACCTCCTGCCCATGACGCTGAAAGGAGACAGGAGACGGAGACAGGAGACGCTGCTGTGCTAACAGTGACATGACCCTGATGTGTCAGCTCAGGGCATTCTGACAGGGAGACA